TTCATGGTATTTAAAAGTATTGATTATCTATTTTGTGAATGTATTTTGTTTACCTTTTCTTAATAAAAAGTATATATCAGCCTTTATTACTTTTTGTCAACTAATTTGTCTCCTTTTGTTTCATCTTTGTGTGAAATTGCATTTTAAATATCCCCATATTAAGTAAAAAGTGAAGAGAAAAATTACATTTTAAAGATTTATTGAAATACTTTAAATATTATTAAATTCTAAAGTATTTTATATTCAAACTTTTGAGTCATATCTGGAGATATTTTTCAAATGGTAGTTTTAAAAGTTCAGAGCGACACCTGGAATCCTTTGCACAGTTAAGCTCAAGCTGTTGGAGAGGTGACACAGGACTTTATGTTGTGACATACATATTAGGTAAATGAAGTGAGAACTAATCTTTAAAATATCTGGTGTATTTAGCGGGGGAGCATTTCAAACTTGGGCTTTGAAGTAAGATGCTATTAGTGATCACAATCTTAGGATATATTCTTAACGTCCATCTATGCAAATAATTGTATATTGTATCCTTCTTCTATTTGAGAACATGCAGTTTTCTAATAATTACACACCATCAGCTTGACATGTTGTGTATTCATAGGACTTATAGAGAGGACTAGAAATGGGAGGATGCATTGCTGCACATCCTTGTACTGGCCAACAGGTAGTGTTCTGCTTGCCTCATGTTCAATAAAAATGTGGTTACCAGCTAACATTACAAGCATCTCTGAAGTGTAAGCCACATATTAAGTAACATGGAAAAAAATCCTTTTTTTGCTCTTAGATTTTGTCTATTTTGCACTAAGATTGTTACACTTAGAAATTATGAAGAATATTGTGTTAACTGGAAATATTGTGTCATATATATTAAATTTTATTACTTAAAGCCAACTTAGAACACCCGTTCAGAAATACCTGAAAATACTTGTATTGCTTTAGGTTTCTGAGCCGTGGAAGGAACTATATATTCATAGCGAGTGCATCTCATACATTTTATTTTCTAGGTCTTTCATTTGCCAGTTACAGGAACGGGGAAGTTGTCATCTCTAAATGTTACTTATGTACTAATACTGTTTGTAATTAAGTCAGTGGTTTCCACTGATGCTAATTGGCGTTAATTATTCAGGCTGAAGCAGTTCAGTAAGAAGGAGAAAACTCATGTTCTGCTCTTGATATCTTCAGTGGTGAATTTTAAATATCTTATTTTGTATATAAACCCTCTTAAACTGGAATCTGAGTTTTTAAAAAAGCAAGTGTTCCATTGTATTGAAAACAGTATATTTCATCTTACCAAAAAATGTATATTTTGACATTACAATTAAAACTGTAACACTTCAATTAATAGTAATTCCTACATGGATAAATTATGAAGAATTAGCAGCTCGTTGAGCACAGCTGTTATAATAAAAACGGTATCATTTTGATGACCAAAGCCTGTGCAGATTTCTAATATTAAAACGTTACTAATATTCAGAGTGTGGTATAGCTGTCATTTTGCCTTCTTGTTACTATTATTTTATATACATGTAAGCAACTAGAAGAAAACAAAAGTAAATTTTATACAACCTTGCTTTAACATCAAGTATTTCATTTCATGAAGTAGAAAACAAGCACAAATTTGGAGAAGATTTAAATCCATGAACTACTGTATATGTCATGTACGAAACAAGCCTTACGTGAGTCAGGATGTTCAGGTAACTCTCTGGACTCTGCTCCAAAAAGCTTCTGTGCAGTCCTCACCTTCTGGAAGATCAAAAGCACAAGGCAGCCTAATGAACTGTTGTAGTCCTCAGATGGGGTGAGTTGAGAGTGTGGCAGACATGAAATTAAGGGAAAACTCTGTATACTCAGGTTATCTGTCTTTTGTTATCTGCAGCTGGGGAGGGGGGAAAAATAACTTTAGAAAAATAATAAAGGTGAAGCAATAATCATTGGGGCTGTTTTTCTATGAAACAAAGTCTATTGTCAGAAGCAGGGGCAACTAGAGATAATAAAAGGACAGGTTTTTTCAGTATATGAAAACCTAAATTGCTCAATTAAACAAAAGCTATTATTCATAAATGACTGTATAGGACTGCAGACTTTTGGGGTTTTTTTTAAATCATTCCTTGGGACAGAACTTTATACTTTTTCTTTTTTAACAGCGTAAGAAAACAGTGGTATGTGGTTTTGGTACCCTGGTCTTATAACTTTGTGTATACAGATATTTAAGTTTCAGTTCATGCTCTCACCCTTTATGGGTCACACAAAGATCATAATAGCTGCAGCAGTATTAATTCCTGGACGATTCATCCTCCAGTGTAAATGATAAGGGGGAGAGGAAGCCTTGATGCTGTGCAAGCACTGATCAGCAATAGCTGAAACACTGGAGTATTATCAGTGGCTGGTGTATTAATGCAGTGTTTCAGCCACAAAGGCAAAGAACTCATATGTCTTCTGTCAGGCTGCAATGTTGCCTCTGCCACAACACCCACCAACACACAGCAGAACCAGCATGGGGCACTCTGGCAGATTCCCTGCACAGTGGCAGCCCATTCCAGCATATGGACTGCAGACATGGCGTGGCCAAGGTAACCCCAACACACGGTGTCTTCCATAAAGCTCCCAATACAACGTGGACGTGGACATTCTTGGCAAGTCCAGCAAAGAGCCCCAAAGATGAGAAGGGATTGGAGCATCTCTCACAAGAGAAGGGTCTGAGCAAGCTGGGGTTACTCAGCCTTGAGAAAAGAAATATTGAGGGAGGGAACATCTCCATATACATAAATAACTGGGTAGGAGTGGGAATAAAAAGTGGCTGGAAGTAAAAAGACTGAGACAGTCTGTTCTCAGTTGTACTCAGGGGAGTTACAAGACAATGGGCACAAATCGAAATACAGGGAATTCCATTTAAGCATAAGAAATATTTTTGTCCCGTGAGGGTGGTCAAACAGTGCAACACGCTGCCCAGAGTGGTTGTGGAGTCTCCATCCACAGAGGTATTCAAAACCCACTGAGGGGCAGTCCTGGACAGCCTGCTGCAGATGACCCTTCTTTGAGCAAGGGTTGGACTAGGCAGTCTTCAGAGGGGCAGCAATTCTGCGACTGCGGGAAACTTTCCTACAGTTCCACACAGCAATGTGATCAGGTACGTACTTATCCGGCTGTGGTGACATCGATTCTTATTATCTATATTATGATGTTTGACTTTTGAAAAATTACAAGTATAAAAATAATTACCATTGTTTTATCTCCATATTTAGATTTATCTACAATAGAGCTAAAATGAGTTTTGGAATTTATTACGGTAGTTGCCTATCCCACCTGTGTCTGCTGCTAGCTCAACATCACCCAAGCAGAGCTGCCTCACCAGCATTGTCAGAGGTGTGTCCTTTACCATTTTAAGGTGATGGTGCAGGAGTTAAACTAACTAAAATGGCAAAATAGCCATTGGAAGAAAGTGGGAAAAATGAGAATGTCAGTGGCTTCTTCTCAGTTTTAGTACTCCTGAGCAGAGACAGCTGTATTTTCATGAACAAAATCACAGAAATTAATTGCAGTGTGATTAGTCAGCTGTGAGTCAGTCAAGGTCTGCAGGAGCAGATACTGCTTTTGAGGGAGATGTTCTTTCAGTTCTTTGAGCTTCTAAGTCCAAAGGAACATGTTGACATCTGAGCTTGTTTTTAATTGAAAAGAGTTGGGTGGGTTGCTGGACTATAGCTCTGTCTGCAATCTTTACCAGTACCTATTTGCTCTGGATAAATGCATAAAGATGTTGAGTGGGAGGTAGGCACCCCTGGCTTGCTCCTGGCTTTTATATGGTGTTTTTGTGCCACCTAGTGGACTTGGGTCTTTTCAAGCAATCATGGCACATCCTAGACAGGTTTGGGTTTCTCCATAGAAATTCTAGATTTCTAATATTTCAGTAATAAAATCTACTAAACCCAAAGTGAAAAATTTGCTAATAAAGCTACGTGTGCCTGAAGCCCATTTATCACTTTGCCACTGAGGTTTGTGACTGCATTACTTTACAGAAATTGTCAGTTCTCAAGGGAAAAAAAAAATCTCATTTTAACTTATCTTCTGCTCCAGACAAGAAAGGTCTCATGTAGTTGAGCAATTTGACTGATCTGAAGGAACTGGCAAAGGCTGCATTCACCTCTTTCCTGGTGGCTACTTATGAAGTTTTCTCTCTGTACCATCCAATTCTACCTCTTAAAAATATGTAAGTGCTGCAATAGCAACAAGGCAAAACACAGCAAAACCCCTGAATCTTTTGGAGGAGTGTTACCAAATTCAGCTCTGGTAATTGAGGTGCTTTGTATCCATATATTTTGGATCTATATATATATGTATGTATGTATGTGCTCTTGCTAATGTAAAGATAGCATTCAATATACTTAACAGCCACCAAAATACTAGAGCTGGTACATGAGCTTAAAATTCTGAGTTATCTGTGCCCTGTATCCTATAGCTTTAGTTGTGAAGGGACTGAAAACGGAATGGACTGCACCTCCCAGGCCTTTTATGACTAGTCATCTCTAGAAGCTTGCAGGTAAAAAAGTGATTCCTAGCAATTGATACTTATTTCAGACTCATAGACTAGTTTCTTTCACAAGTATCACTTTGACTCAGGAATTCACTGAGCTACAAATCACTAAGGAGGGGGAGAGTATCAGTAAATGCCTGCCTAAAGTTATATTCTTCCTTTAGAACATCTGTTACTGGGCACAGTCAGAGACAAAAGAAGTATGAGATAGCTCTTTGGTCCAACCCAGCCTGGGTGTCATTTTCATGTAAGACCTAGTTCTTTTTAAGAATACCAGAAGGACCACTTCTGATTCGGCCAAAAAACTGAAAAACAGGCAAAATCCAAAGCTGTAAGGCCTTATTCTCCAGGGAGCATCTGAATCTGGAGAGGTGGTTGGCAAAATACATCTTTCTCAGCAGTGGAAGATCGTGAATCACATGATCCACATTTTGGTTCGAAAAGTGGAAGAGTCTGGATGGAACTAAATGCAGCATCTGCTTTTATCATGTTCTCTTTGGGAAACTCAGGAAACAGGTGTCCTGCACTGGTAAAATCTTGCTGTTGATACCTGAATTGAAAGAGTGGGGCCCCAGAAGAGCTGATATAAATACGGGATTTAAGGATATGAGAAAGAAGGGAGGCTGCTTTCTCTACTGCTGTGTTGGGGAGCAGCTGATTTTTGTTTTATTTCTTGTAGTTCCTCCTATTTTTTAGGAAAGGAAGGGGATAAGTATTTGTGTGGCTATAGCAATAGCCAGACACTGGATTCAGACTTCAGTCTTGCTGGGAGAAGAAAACAAATGGGGTTTCAGAGCCGGGATGCAGCCGGAGCTGTGGATCTCCTCTCCTCCGGAGCTGCTCTCCTCTTCGGGCAGTGCAACGGTGCTGGGTCTCGGTGAATCCAGGTAAATACAGCCTTACCCCTTCCTTCCCAGCAAGAGAAGCCGAACGCTGCCAGTTCGAGGGCAGGGATGCGGGAGCGGCAGGGGCGCGGCGCTGCGGGGCGCCTGTGAGCGGCGGCGGCCGCGCTGCCATGGGGCGGCCGCCGCGGGGGCGGCATCCGACGGGCTGGGCGGCGGCACCGGCGCCCGCAGCAGCCACCGGCTCTTCCCTTCTGGCAGCAGGGAGAGGGAGCACAGGTAGGAAGGACCCTGCCGCCCCACCCCTTCCCCCCCGCGCAAGGGCCGCTGCGGTGCCGACAGCGGGAGGGAGCCTCGCCGCAGCACGGAGCTCCGCATCCCCCCCCCGAGGCTCCGCGTCCCCCTCGGGGCTCCGCATCCCGACCTCGCCGCTCCGGCGTCGGCGGCTGCGCTTTGCCCGGGCCGCACCTCGGGAGCGCTCGCCGTGCGGGGTCGCCCGCTGCTGTGCGGGGCCGTGCGGGAGTGTCCCTGCCGCTTTGTGCTGCTTGTTCCCTGTCGCTCGGCGATGCAAGAGGCGAGCAGGCGAGGGGCAGGAGGCTGTGCCGGGAGGACGGCCAGAAACCCCCCCTGTGAGTAGTTCCCTGCCGCTGTTGGGCTGCCTTTGTTCGGTGGAAGGTGCAAGGAGGCGTGCGGGTAATTTTCGGAAGGTGTCACTTCGGTGCTGCCGCGGAATTCAATGGCTGGGCTGGTTCTCTCCAATTCCTTCTGCTTTCCCTTTGTTCGCGTTTTCCCAGGGAGTCCTGTATTGTTTCAGCTTCGCTGAAAAGCAGGAGCTGTCAGAGAGATGACTTTGTTCGCGGCGATGCTTCTCCAGAGCAGCATCGCTTTGTTCGAGCTCCCGTAAGCCATTTGTCACACAAGTGCCGCCGCGCTGCTGTGACGAGCCGGCTGCGTTCCGCGGCTGGCAGGCAGCGGGGCCGCGTCCCTCTTCCTTACTCTTTCCCAGCAGCTGGAGCCGGTAAGCTGGAGGTAATACCCTTTCACATGGGAAATCGTTTTCTTGCATGATCTCGTCAGTTAGAAAACGTCTATTTCAGGGACAGAAATATGTGCAACACGCATCTTTTCTATTTCATGGAGACATTTTTAATGAATGACGGTTTGGGGTTTTGTTTGTTTGTTTGTTTTTGGGGGTTTTTTGTTTGGTTTTTTTTTTTTTTTTAATTAATTTTGCTGGGATTGCTGCAAGTCAGTTACAAATCTGGTTCTCTTTAGCTGTAGTACGTAAAACATTACTATGCCTCTGCTCTGTCATTTTAAGTGTAAAAATGCCCTGTGAAAAGACAGTTCAAGGGGTAAGTAGAGACTTGGAAACCACAACTCTGCATCCTGAAAATTTAATATCCGTGACAATAATGGCACTGAAAACGATCTGCTACTGGGGGATGGGGCCATGGAGAAAGAGAAGAGTAATTTACAACCACAGGCCCAATAACAGATATTCTGTCGATAATAGATACATAGATAATCTAATTTGTTATATTCACAAACAGATTTTCTGTACATACCTTAAACAGTGTATAGCAATTGTATGAGAAGAGCTCTTTTCTTAAGACTCTGAGCTATATAAGCTAGCCGATAGCAGTAACATGTAGCAGGTTCTATGTTTTAACAGAGTAAAGATGAAAATTAGTCAGAACTGACTTTTATTTGGTATTTAGTAATGCACACTCAAGAAATTACCATCCAAAATAACTTTAATTGCACCTTGCATAGACAATTAAGTCTTCTAACTATACCAAAACATTAATCAGCGGGCATAAATATTATTCTGAGTTTCTTTAACAAAGCCATTGATGTATTTTAATATAGGGAGTAGTTAGCAGTTCTGTAACTAACTTCTTTTAGGTGGTTTGAATCCAGGTCAGAAATTCATCTAATGGGCAAATTCAACTCTTCCTTGGCTGCTATCAGATTACAGTTTGTGTTTGTGGTTGAATATTTCATTGCAGCAATGAGCTTGAATTTAACACTATAAGGTGTATTAAAACTTTATATGAAAGTGATTTGTATATTTACTTACGTTCTAGTTGGATGATAATTACAAGAACTACCTTGAAATATTTTTTAATAAATATGGCACATAGTAAAGAGATTGCTGCTGATTGGTATTGGGTCTTTCTTCTCCGATAAGAAAATGTGTCTCAGAGCATCCTGTTGTAATATGCATTTGGGCAACCCTACATTTTAGAGAGAATTCCTTGAGACTTATGAGCAATTATTATTTTTTTCCTATATGCCATATAACGGGGTTTTTAGAAGTGCACTGGTAGCAAACACAGTTGGTTTGAAGCATGATTGACTTGCTGGGTCCTGTGCTAAAATGTTAACTTCCTTCTTTCTCCCCCCCCCAAGTTTGTTCTTTATAGATCTTATTTTCGTCAGTTTTCTTGTGAGATTATGCAGGTGGTAGCAGTTGTGAACTGGAAATGCACTCAGTAAAATATTTTTTTTAACATACAGTTCCCGAATACTGAAACAAAATTTATTTACTATTAAAAAGTACTGTTTGACCGTAAGATTTCACTTGAAATGCAGGTACTAAAATGCTACCCTTTTTGGTTTCACACATCTGATTACAGCAGTAAGAATAACTTTTGTAGTTTCTTCTGCTTCGGCTCTTAGTCACTCTGATTGTTGTTTTGCCAGGTATCTCTGTCATGAAAATGGATGTCTTTGTGTGAGTAATGTAGTTTATGGTTATTTCAATATTCGTACTATAGATGTGTCAGGTAAGCTCTTTTTAAATAAGAAACACATGGCATAATAAGTGTTGACTGAAATGTGATGATGAGTTTGTGAATATGAATATGTTTGGTTGTTGTTTTACAATGAAGTCTAACATAAACAGAATTTTTATACAGACAGTGTAAGCTTGAATGACTATGTTTTGACTTTTTTCCTCACAAACCAAGAAAGTACCTTTTTTTTTATATTCTGAATTATTCGTGTTTGAAAATCACCGATTCTGATTGTTGAGGGATTTTTTTTTTCCCCTCCCACAAGATCAATGCACAGTCTTTATTCTATAAAGGTCTAAATAAGAGAGTTGTAGCAAAAATGGATAAGCCTACTAATTTCATGTTAAAAAAGTTCAGTCAATTTCTTTGGAGTCAACAGACTTAGGGCATTGTAGTTACATAATAGCTCCATCAGCATGATGTAAATGGTGAGATGCTCTAAACATCTGCATATTGTCATTGTTCCGATGAATTTGAAAAAGAATAAAGTTGTATAAAGTGCACGTTAAAGTGGAATCAGTTGGTGTTGAATAGTGTGATAGAAGGCAACCTGAAGTTACAGGGTTAACTTTAATTGCATTAGTGCTTCCACTGGAGGGACCAAATTCTATTTTTTATCTATTATTTAAGTCAATTATTGATGGATAAAATTGTGTTTATTTCCGTGGAGACTCCATGATTTCTGTCTTTAGGAAACAGTGAGTTGTTGTGTAGTTCTTACACTTATTGTTTCTCATTACTTCCTGAGGGACTTTCATTCCTTTTGATTCTATGCATTGCATATCATAGGCTTTCTCTCTTTAAGAGGTAAAATATTTTTTGTAGAAGCATGCAGCATCTGCCATTGCTTTACATTCAGCATTAGGGTTAAAATGGTGAAGCCTTACGAAGAAATATAACTGACTTGTAAGAAATAATTTTTAATTAATACTGGTCAAGACCCAGTGTGTCGCATGGGCTAAATCCCAATGATTTGGTAATTAAATTTTGTGGGAAGAAAAATGTAAAGATCTTGATGCTTATTATCCTGGGCAAGGGGCTTATGCTGCTGTTGTGCCACACATTGAGTGAAGATTATTCAGATGCTACTAAAAAAGCGTAAAGTACATCAATACTTTTTTAAACATAGTTCAGTTTCTCCTTTGTATATGCATGTTGTGTGCCAAATTACAGGAATGAAAGTTTTGTGCCTCTAATAAGGCTGTTTAAGAAAATACCATCATATGCAGCTGATTTTAGTTCATGGGACTGAGTGATGTAGTTCAGTAAGGGCAGTTAATGACTTTTCTGCTAACTACCTTTATTTGTGATCACCAGCACATACAGTCAAATCAGTTAAGTCAATTGCTTCACATCCCAAAGATGCTTCGAAATGGTTAAGCTTATAGTTTTAATTATAACACGTGTGGAAGTTTTATTTTCTTCACCATTATTGCCTTAAGAAAAACAGTGTGAAAATTATCCAAATAAGTAAAAGCTTTCCTCATAATTCAGTGTTTGGGAGTGCAGAATGCTGTGCACACTGCTGACCTGCTTGACCATCTTTTTCATTACTCAGCATGTTTTGAAAATCAGCCTTCAGATTTGGGCAGCTTCATAAAGCAGCTCAGCCTAGTGATTTGTGGTGAGCTTTCTGTAGGAGGATGCTGCACATAAAAGATTATGTTTATTGTTAAGTTGAAATGTGGAGGGAGTGTGATGGAAAGAATTAAAGTGAAATGAACCATACAAGATTCTGACTTTCATGTTGTTCTTCAAAGAAAGTTGATTTTCTTCAAAGTAACATGCTCTCTTTCTCTGTAGCCTTTAAGAAAGCCCCTTTGAAACTCTTTAGCACAGGAAAAAAAAAAGAAAAAAAGTACAATTATGGTGATCTGTGGAACAGTTTGGGTTAGAAGAGAAAAATAGTGACAGAAAGCCCTGTGAATCTGCGGTATCTATGGGTGTCTGTTGGAGCACACATGAGATAGTTAGGTTGAGTGGCGTCCTCTGCCAACAAAATTGAACTATTTTTCCTGCTGTAGAACCTTTTTTCTGTTTCTCATAACTTTGGCAAATTTTAGCCATATAATCTATAGTTCATCACCTGTCTTTATGACTCAGGCTAATTTTTCTTTTAATTAATTAATTGAGAATTAGACTAGTTGATTTTCCTTGTTAAAGAAAAAAAAATTCCTAAGATATTTCAGAAACGTGGTATTGTCATTCTGGTTTTTAGCTGGGTTCTAGGTCCTGCTGAGGCAG